GTTCTGATTGGATTGTCAGAATTTTTTTGTTAGTAATAAGAGAGCTGTTGCTCCTGATTATGGCGTGTGGACACGCCCTGATGACCTGAATGATGGAAGTTTTGGATATCATGAGTTACTTGCTGTCCTCGATACTGATTACAACTCGAAGACGTCGAGGAGGACACGTTGCAACTGTTGTTCATAAGCGTGGTTGTGTTGTTGCTTTGGATAGCGAATGGCCATGACTGTAATTAAAATCATTCTTACTATACTGCTGACTCGAATATTTGAATGCCTTGATTATGAAGTAGATCGCGATACGCATTATTGACTTTTTCGAGTATTATTAAAATTGTAAAATACTGATTAATTATAAGTATCGATATATCGATAGTGTGTTGTAAATTAGATATTTATTTATGTATTATTACGAGATCACACTTTTTTTTAAATGTCAACTTAAATTTATTTGAATTTACATAAAAATATAATTTAAATTTACATAGCAAAATAACATTTTTAATAATTTTACAGATAGAATAACGTTCTTTGATCTTCGCGAAAGGAGGGCAACAAGAGACCAACTATTTCGCGGCGGAAAGCGGTATGCTTCTTCAAACAACGAAACTAACTTAGAATTAATGGTAGTAAAGGATGGGTGGAAGGTTTTGGAGTGATTCGATCCACCTGGACAGACATAAACAGAGTAGATGACTGCGAAGACGGCGCTCGCAACTCCGAGTGGATCCACCTGGTTTCTATGTTATTTTACGGAATCGTTATCAAGTCGAAAGTCTGATCGTAAGAACGAGAAATAGTTTGGAAATAACTCGCACTTCAGATTCCCGTTAAAATTAGATAAATTAACAATTTTATTTAATCCCATATTTTATGGAATGCAAATTTAATGAAATTTGTATCAAAAAATAACAATTAAATTCTTCATGAAAAAGGTCTTAAAAAGTACTTGACACTTAGATTTTTTTAGAGATTCTCTTTTCATTAAATCTATTTTTTCTAACAATTCTCTGATTAATGAGTTAATTGTTAATTAATGAACAATTTTGCTTGTTTATTGTACTATTTTTATGTACATTTTTTAATATTAGTATGCATATAATTGTTGTTATTAAAGTTAATTAAAGTTTAACTGCAATTTCGTAAAATATAAAAGGAGGAAAACTTGCTCAAATTTTAATGCTAATTTTAATGAAAATAGAAATGGGCACTCACCAAAGCCAGCGACAAGGATTTCGTGGTTTCAGTATGAGTTTCACCATCATCTTGAAGTACTGCTCTTAGGTGAGCAATGTATGTTGCGGCTAAACGCAAGGTATCTAATTTACTCAACTTGCTATCGGCGGGTATCCATGGTAATGTCGTTTTTAGTCTACAAAATGCTTTGCTTAATATTCGCATCCTCGCTCGTTCACGGGCATTAGCAGCGTTTCGCGGAGCGCGACTGTCCATGTCGTCCTTCATGTATTTTTCCTCTGAAGGATATTCCTCCAACGACGATGTCGAAGCTCGCCGTTTTCGAGGCATTCTACTGTATAATAACAGTTACTGTTAATTAATTATTAGATAATTATATTTTGGTAAATTAAGATACGTAATTATCGCAATAAAGAAGATTTTTTATTAATTAATCAAAGAATGATTCCAGCTTTTTTCTTTATCATATTAGAAACTTCTATTTTATTTCTTTGAAAAATAGAATTTATTAACACGTCTCTTTCCTTACACATGCCAACAAAAAAGTGTAAGATAATTATCCATTGAATAAAAAGTACTGAAGTTCTTATTTTTCTCTTTTATATTGAAGATTTAAAATCAAACGAATCAAACTGTACAGCAAAGCTGTGTTTTACAATGCAAGAATAATTAATCGATAAATGATAGCAAAAACAATAAATAATTAATTATAAGCAAAGATAATATAATTATATCGAATGCGAAGCTTTACTTTTTTATGCCGTATTTTTTTTACAGTAAAAAATTATATAAATTTTTCTGTAGCTGAATTCTATTTATTACTTTAGATAAATGCTGATAGTATCATTTTCTTTTTCATTTTGCAAAATGAAGAAGTCTAATAAGGAAACTTCATAAATTGCGAAGTGAATTGTATTTTGTGTTACGAGATTAAAAGAAAAAAAAAAATTTAGAACATCAATTTAAATATCAATTTGAAATTATAAAATTACTTTTAAGAAATAGCTATTTTTAGCAGTTATTTAAGAACAATAACCTTACAATTAGTAATAATAATTTTGGTTATCGTTTAAATCTGCACTTTGCACACGTACAGTTTAACTTTTAAAAGCACAAAACTTTGTTCTATTGTTTGAACACTGTCATATGTAACAACAATAATACTTATAGTAACACTGAAATTTGTATACAAAGAATCACAAATAACAAAGTTTGTAATAACGAAGCTTATAATATGATTATTAATTTAACTCAACTATATTATGATAAAGATAAAAATTCAAAAACCAAAGTAGAAAACTACGCGATCTCACTTTGTGCATTATGAAGAGTGCTATAAGAATTATTTTCTTTTTTAATTGCTACACTTAGAAAATTAGTTTATTGATGTTCTCGTTGTTGTCATATGTCTCTAAACTAATAATTGCAGCACAATTAATATGCAACTGTTCGATACCTATGATCGATTATTCCTTTTTTTATTCACTATCACGAATGTATTGACAGGCCCCTCGCAACAGATCGCGTCTATGGTGTGTAACTAATTGTTAGTCAATGTTCTTAGAGCACAGAAGCTGAAGGCTGGACCGGGTGGAGCAACGCAAATACGAAGAGAATGAGACAAACAAAAGATATATTCGTTGGAGGGACGAAGAGATTTGGGAGGCCCCGAAAACCAGGCGGAGCTTTCGAACATCAGAGTCTCATTCGCCTCATCTCGTTTTCCGAGATGCTGCTCGATCCAATCCGCGGGAACATTGCGGCATTCGTAGCCACCTGGCACATCCTTCCTGGTTTTCTTCCTTTCTTCTCTCTCTTCCTTTTTCTCTCTCTTCCTTTTTCTCTCTCTCTTTCGAAAGTGCAAAGGAGAAGAAACTAAGACTTGTATTAATATCCCACATTAAAAGCAAATGATTTTGAAACTTTTTCACATGAATTTTTAACTTTTACATTGGTGACGATTTCCGATTTGTTAATTGAATTCTGTGGTTTTAATTTTAACACATAATGTAACCGTAAAATAATATTAAAAAAGTGTATTATTCATTTAAATCTCTCTAGATGTTAAATTGATCTTACAATAAATAGAATCGTACATTCCTATTTATTCTATATTTTAATTTAGATGATATTAAAAGATATTAAAAGATATCACTTTCAAAGATTATCTATTAAATAAGCAATATTATTTATATAGAATGACGTTGATATTTTACCAAATATCGAAGATTTTAGTCTCTTATGTCATTATTGCACTTTATTCTTTAAGATAAATGACTTAAGTTTTCATATTAGTCAATTTAACAAAGGGAGGATGCTCCTCCAGAGATATTCTCATAATTATATAATATATATGTATGATATCCTATACTAAAAAATATATTAAATTGTGCTTCACTTCCTTCATGAATCCTTCGCAATAATATCCTGAGCTCAGAGGCTATATTTAACACTCGATTGAAATAATTATCACTTAATCATTTGCACGAGCACATATAGTTGCGTAATTGTTGGTGTACTGGATTATATTAGCATGTAGAACTTCTCGCGTATTCAGAGAAACTGCGATAGAATTTAGTGCGCATTAATTACTATAATATTATTAATATCTAACAATGACTCCAAATTATGCTCTATAGTTTATATGACTATATTTCCCCAGGACACGCTTGTTCTTCTTCATCTATTCAGACTTTTGCTTTAAAGGGAAGGGTCGACTAATCCATAATCCATCGCAAATCTCCGTTAACCGGCAGTCATCCATTTCGTCGAAATTAGGATTCGAAATGGATCCTGTAATATGAGGTTTGCGGTGGCCCCTGCTAATCCTACTTAGAATACTGAAGAAGGCGTTAAGTTATTGCTCGACAAATTTATGAAAGATGTAAGGCAATTTGACACTTTCCGACCTTTTTCTCGCTAACTTGTCTCGTGGAATCATTTAAAAGGTTTGTAACAAATTGTGAAAGTGATATACTTAACACCTAGTTTAAAAAAAAATTGTAGACAGATTTAGTATCTTTTATTAATATATATTCTTTGAAAGATTTAGTATCGATCCTTTTTAATGAAAATATAAAGGATTATTTTAGATATTATAATAATATTGTACATCTTTCTTCGTTTAGAACAGTAATAATTACAATTGCGCTTAAAATACAATTAGGATTTAAGCTGCTTTCCTTTTAGGAGATACTGTCGATATAAATATATTATTCTATCAATAAGATATAATAAATTAGATTTTTTTTTGTAAGACTTCTTATGTTTTCGATAAAAATTCATACATGTCAAAGAGCGATTTTGGAGTGAGCGCGATAAACAATTGCGCAATAATCGATTATATAATACGAAGTATATACTTATTGTTAGTATCATCAATTATTGCGTATTGTTTACCGCGCTGACTCCAAATCGCCTCTTGACATATATGAATTTTGATATTATTCTATCTTATTCATTGAATGCTAAGGTATAGAACATTTGTGTCGACTGTATTTCTTAAAAGAAAAGCAGCCTCAGTTAAAAATACAAATACAACGTGAGAGCAAAATAAATATATTATCTTTATATCAAATTGTATCATCTGTTTATCTTAAAAATATTCTACCATTAGTACCAAACCATTTACTATTTTATTGTAATTTCGCGTTTATTGTAATTTAACTTACATGTATGAATTATATACCTATAAAAATAATTAAATGAAAGTTAAATACATATGCGAATAAGTTGAATAAAATTAATTATTTTAAATCTAATTTATGTGACCTACAAATTACGTTATTAGAATTCAACAAACAATTCTATTTATAATTTTATGTATAATACGAAAAACGTTTGAGAAGTTTACCAAAATACGTACATGTATAAAATATACATTAGACAGATATTAAATATCGCATATATGTTTTATATATATATTATATATGCGATATATAAAGTTCTAATTTAAATTCTATCTTACAGTTTAATACATTATGAATTATAGATATTTTTAAAAGAACAAAAATATTTCCTTAAATTTATTGATATTTGACAACTTCTATACTCTTTTTTTGCTATATTTTTAAAAGTTTTTAGAAAATTTATGCCTGTTTCCACCAACGTAGATTAACTTTACTCTCGGTTCAACTTACTTTTTTTAATTCTAAAAATTAGAAAAAGACGAAGAATAAGTTAAACCGAGATTAAAGTTAATCTACGTTGGTGGAAATGGACATAAATGGAAGAATCTATACAAGAATCAATGGAAAATTCTTCCTTTTAATCAGAAAACATTTAAAAATACTGTTAAAAAGTCAAGAAAAAAATCTTTTTTTTTACTGAATGAAAACTTCGATACAAAATTCAATTTTAATCTCGATTAAGAGAAATTCGACAAGTTCAATTTGTACGAACGGCGCGACCGACGCGACTGATCATGGTAACTTCACGTCGTATCTTCTCGGTTCGCTGTAAGATGGTGCTGATTATGCCGAATAGCGCGACGTGCGTATTTGCGACGGAATTGAGCGAAGTCAACTAGTCAAGTCGTCAAATCGAGTCGAGTGTGTTGTGAGGTACTGTGGTCCCAGTTGTTGCTCACGGATTTTTTGGATAACCGCTCCACGCCTGTGCATGTACGTGCGAGATTGATTTAGGTCCACGCCAAGGGCAGAGGACGATTCATGAACGCGGCGACGATAACGCCGGATTCGCCGCTGCAATCTCGATACAACGACATTTCCGGAAGGCGAATCAACGTCCGCTCGCGGAATTTTTGGCACTGACGGCACGCCATTCAAAAGAACGTGAGTCACGAAATTGCATTAGATACCGCGTGTAATTTCTTTAGAAATCTACCTTCATTGATTGAAGAGGTTAAGTTTTGCGACGTTGACAGTATAGGAAGTGTGGTAATTTGATAGAATTTTTAATTAACGAGGCTTTTCGGAGCTCGCTTTGTTCTCGAAGGTGGCTTTGTTTGAATATTGAACAAAGAAACATCAGTATTTAAAAAAGTTAATAGTTTTTATTTTTTTTAATATTGTGTGTAGTTTATAATAAAACAATTAAAATGTAAAAATTATTTAAATTGAATTGTTAATTAAATATTAGTTATCATTTATGGCGTGTATTTCACATTCTATGAATATAATTTTAAAATTATGAAATAAAAATGAAAAATAAAATTTAAAAAAAAATAAAGTAAATGGTAAAGATTTTATGTATCTTATAAATGTTAATTTTATTATTAACATAATATATTTATAAAAACAATTTATAATATGTTTGTAAATTTTGTCAAAAAATGTCATTCATAAAATTGTTTTCTCATAATGAAAATATGCATATTGAATTGTAATAAATACATAGCGTATTTTTAGATAAATACATACTTTTATCATCTATTTGCAGCTATCTTCTGTAATAATCTATATTTAAACATGTCAGAAGAACATCAGTTGCCTTCTGATTCAGATGAAGATGATGAAGATTATGTTCCTGATGGCGCTGACAGTGATCCAGTGTCTGAAGTAGAATCTGAAGGTGATATTGAGAGTGGTCCAGAGGATGAAAATGATGAAAACAAAAGAGAAAGAGGAAAGAAAGGTGCAAAGAGGTCTAAGAATCGGAAGAGCAAAAAGGCAAAGCGCAGAAGAACTTTAGAAAAATCTAAAGTATCAGAAGAAGAAAGTAAAGAGGAAGAAGAATGTAAAGAGAAAAAAGAGCTCACTGAAGAAGAAGAAAAAAAGAGAGCAGATTCTCTTTGGGCTGACTTTATGAAGGATACAGGTTTGTACAAAATTATAACATATAATGAAATATTACATATAATTACATTGCATAGTTACATAATATGTAACAGGAAAATTTTTTATTACATTAAACAGCTTAATAAGTCATTTATTTTACAGTACAAATTATATATTATTATATATTGTATCTATAATGTCTACAACACAATTTCTAAAGATGCATTTGAGGATTTTTTGGCTTAATGCTATTTATGATATGTTCTTTTCAGCTGAACTTCTTGCACTGTTCATTTTTCCTCGTTTTCTTTTCAGTATGAAGAAAAAATAAATATGAATGAGGGGTGCAAGAAGTTCAGTTAAAATGAACAGACTTTTACATTAGAGTCAATAAAAGTACATTATCTTATTTAAATGAGATTAATACAATATTTAAAGAGATTTAAATAACACATTTATATGTATTTTTACAGCTGTTGTATCGAAGTCCAAGCCACAGAATTCAATCAGCAGATCGAATGACAAATCAGCACCGACCCAGAAGCCGAAAGTCCAAGAAAAAGTCAAGATAACTAAAGTTTTTGAATTTGCGGGTGAAGAAGTAAAGGTCGAGAAGGAAGTATCCGTTGATTCAGCGGAGGCCCGATTATCTCTTTCAACGGCCGAAAATTCCGCCACGAAGCCACCTGAATCCGCATCTCCCGCGATCAAAGAACGCGGACGAGGCGGTATCAGGCGCGTCGGATTAGGCGGCATCTCTTCGGTTCTAGGACAAATTGGAAAAAAGGCTAAAATTAGTACATTAGAAAAGTCTAAATTAGATTGGGACAACTTTAAGAAACAAGAAAACATTGAGGAAGAACTTAATACTCATAACAAAGGCAAGGATGGATATTTAGAACGGCAAGATTTTCTGCAAAGAGCAGATCTACGGCAATTTGAAATCGAAAAACAATTACGAAATACTAGTAGACGTAGTACGCGGTAAATTTGCATTTCCTCGTTTATATGTCTCTTCGAGATGGGACATGGAGATAACAATATCATGGTAGAAGATATTTACTCGCCAATTTGCCAAACTCGAACGCTTGTTGCACACGTTTAGCCTAATTCATTCGAGTTTTGCGCTACATTTTGAGTAATGTGAATAAAAGGAGCCTCGTTTGACTCGATAACGTGCTAACTACGATAGCGATCGGTGATTTTTTTGAGGAACCGATTATTCCAGTGTTTTGAGACTCATTTCTCATGCGTACGTAATATACATAATAGCTTAATTTACTCTCAGCGAGCCTTTGTCTCGGCCTGATAATTGCACAGAACTTCGCATCGAAGCAGATTGTTTGAAGCTTTTGACGCTTCTTGAAAAAATTGTGCCCATGTAGAATATATCCATAAAATATTTTTTTATTTCATTTCACTAGAACGCGATACGTTTGCGTGTGTAGTATCAATATACGCGACATTCTAATAATAACGATTAGTCGAACGTTACGAGTGAGAATGAAGGAATATGTGTTTTAGGTAATATAACAAAATGATAACATAATGACATTAATTGACCTCATTCATGACCACTGCCTTTGGCAATTGTATGTGGAATATTTATAAATGGACCTCTCATAATAGATAGTATATAGATTATGTTGAAATAGTTGTGGCGAATTTTGTATATCATCTTTGTCTCAAATTGTTATATAAGAAGATAGTTCAACACATATATATATATATATATATATATATATATAAAACACAGACATTATTACTTTCATGTAATGTGTATTAGACAACAATAGGTCTCTATCCTTTTTCCATACCTCAGGATTAAACTTCTTATATGGTTCGTCTTTCTTTTTCTTTTCATTTTTAGAGAAAAAAAACAAAAGATGTAATGAATTGTGCAAGAAGTTCAATTCTGAAGTATAGAAAAAGAATAAGCCTAATATATCGAAACATAACATATACATATACTCAATATCCAATTAACAATTCTCGATTCAGCTCAGGTTACAATTTCCTCGAATTTACATTTTAATGTATCCTCAAAATACATTTTAATGTAATTCCATACAAGGACTGCTTTGTGAATTCTTTTGAGAATTCTTTAATAATATTACCGAATAAATTGTCGAAAAGAGAAATGGTATTTGATTCTTTTAAAAATATTAAATCCTAGTTGATATTTTCAGTACATTAAAACTTGCAATCAGTTCTATTAGTAGTAACCAGTCTTCTAATAAAAACTAAATAATACGAAGAAAACGGTTGT